TGTGTATTTATAAATATACAACAAGGCTAAGTTTCCACTTGATGCTATAATGTTTATTTTCAGTATCAAAACAAGTCATGTAATCAAAATTGACAATATCAAGCATTAATTTCAATCATGTGTTTTGATGAAAAATGAACATAGTGTTAGATAAAAATCCAGTCCAATATTTGATACTTGATTATTTGGTTTTCTGTTGAGAATTTCAATAAAAGATTTAGCAAAGAGACATTATAGACTTTGTCTTCTCTTTTAAAAATCATATATCAATGAATTTAATACACTCCAGTGACGCTTGTTTAAAATTCTATTTCGTTTTCTCTTGTAGAAGATACATTAATTGCTCCGAGTGATGTTAAGTTTAATAATGGTCCATTGGAAGAAGTGAAAAAGCCAATAAAACGTAGAAGAAATTCCAGCGAAATTGAGCTTAAAAAGAAAGAGGAGGAGGAATATAACAAGGAAGCAAACGAGCAGAGATACAAACATTTGATGCATTTGTTGAATAAAAGCAAATTTTATTCATCCTATTTGATAAATAAGATTGATGATAAAGATAAAAATAAAAATAATAAAAATGAAAAGGTTGCCAAAAAGAATCATTACAAATTTGTTCCACAAAAAAAATCTACCATTGAAAATGATGAAAATATATCACCAGTAAAGAAGAAGAAGAAAGCTAGTGGAAAAAAATATAACATACAAGAATACATATCTACAGAGGCAAGTATAATAAGATTTAGATTCTTGGATACACAGACACAATTTAAAATTAATTAAATGTTTTACAGATAACGAGACAGGTAAAGTCTACAAGGGAAAAAAAGAATCTGAGCATAGAAGAGATAGAGGCAGAATTATCTGCGGATTCGGATAATGAATTGACATTCGAACCGGAATCAAAAGTAAATGTTAGCAGCACTGATATTGTATCGATATTACCGAAATATTTTTGTGGCAATCTGCGCGATTATCAACTAAAGGGTTTAGAATGGTTAAAGTTGCTTCATAAAAACAGCCTGAGTGGAATCTTGGCTGATGAAATGGGACTTGGAAAAACAATACAAACGATAGCTCTGATATGTCATCTTGTAGAAGAAAGACAAGCAGGGCCTTATTTAATAATTACTCCTCTCTCTACTATACCAAATTGGCTCATAGAATTTGAAAAATTCGCTCCCGTCATACCGATCTTTTTATTCCATGGCACAATAGAAAAAAGAAACGCTGTACGCATGAAAATTAAATGTATACATCCTGTCGAAGATAATTATAGGACACAACCTGTTGTACTCACTACATATGAAGTACTAATACACGAAAGTAAATTCTTTCAATCTCTAAGATGGAGATACATCATAATAGATGAAGGACATAGAATAAAAAATTATAAATGTAAACTGATCAAGTATGTAACCACTAAAAATTAATCAGTGATTTAGTTCTTTTCAAAACTGATTACAAGTTCAATAAAATAATAGATATTTTGATATATCTATATTTGATAGATATTTAAAAAATATACTTAATTTAGAAAATGATTTTCTCATTTAATTGAACTTTTGTATTATTTTTCTTTTAACATTAAGCTTTGTATATAATGTTTATTTTTTAGAGTGCTGCATAGTATTCGTTCCATGAATAGGCTAATATTAACTGGAACGCCGCTTCAAAACAATTTATCCGAGTTATGGTCTCTTTTGAATTTCCTATTACCAGAAATTTTTGATGATTTGGACACATTTGAATCGTGGTTTGACGTTAAAGAACTTCAATATCAACATGGCACTGAAAAACTTCTGAAGCAGGAAGAAGAAAAACATGTATTGTCATCGTTACGCGAAATTTTAAAACCATTTATGTTAAGACGAGTAAAATCGGAAGTTTGTTTAGAAATTCCTCCTAAGAAAGAGTTGATAGTTTATGCGCCACTCACGGAATTGCAATACGATTTATATAAGGCAGTATTAAATTATGATTTAGAAATGTTAAGTAAAATCGAAGTACCGGATCTGATTATACAAACTGTAAATGGTGAAAGACCGAAAAGACAATGTTTTTTGAGAAGTCCGTACGGATCTATCAAGGGCAAATCCAAGAATAGAGAATTGAATATTTCAGTAAATAATAATATTAAACAGAAACCAACGAAATCTGAGGATAAATTATCGAAATGCAAACAATATACTGATGTCACAGAACGTAATAGAGAGTTCCTTGTCCGTATTAATTTTCAAAATAGAAGTAAATATTGTTGCATTAACGCAATATCTCACATGATTTTTATCTCACACGTTTTATGTTATTTCACTTTTATTTATATTTCTAGTGCCAATGTATAAAAAGATAGTGAATCATCCATACTTGGTTCACTGCCCACTGAATTCGACTGGTTTACCGAAAATTGATAATGATTTAATCAGATCCTCCGGTAAACTGTTAGTATTGGATGCTATGCTGGCAAAACTGAAAATGCGAGGTCACAAAGTTTTATTGTTTTCGACAATGACTATGATTTTAGATATGATTGAAGATTATCTTACGTTACGAGATTATAATTATGTGAGATTAGATGGTACTACTAAAATTGAAGTACGGAAACAAAATATTGCTACTTTTAATAACGATCCAGATATGTTCTTGTTCCTTATATCAATTAGAGCTGGTGGAATTGGATTAAATTTAATGAGTGCTGATACCGTTATTGTATATGATAGTGATTGGGTGAGTTAATATCAATATAATTTTCCACACTTTCCATCTTTGCTGATATCCGTATTTTATTCACACACTTGCTTTTCAATGCTTACAGAATCCACAAGTGGACATACAAGCTATGGCTCGATGTCATAGAATAGGGCAAACAAAACCCGTGGTTATCTACAAACTATGCACTAAAGGAACAATTGATGAGGCAATTATGAAACGAGCCGATGCTAAACGTATTTTGGAGAAAATGGTTATGTCAAAAGAACTACAATCTCTTAATATAAATAGGGTATTAGAGATGAAAAAGTTAATGGAATCTAAAGAATACAAAATTGTTACATCTGAAAAAGAAGGTAAGTTCTGACCATCATATTTTCTAAATAATAAAGATATATAAAGGTATATAAAGAATTGTTGAAATTAGTAGATCAATCTTTTTTGTAGTTTTTACAGAGATGGAATTGAACAACTTGTTAGATAGAAGTGATATGATAATTAAGAATGATATAATGATATAAGTGACAACTGTGATGCGTCTAATTTATTAGATTAAATCAAGAATAAAGTACAATAAAAGAGTATTTTTCGAAATATCGATTAATATTTATAGATTAATAATTTATTACAAATATTACAATACTAAAAGAATTATATAGATATTCAACTTTATCTTTTCATAACTAATTCATTTAATTTCTTAATAAAACATATTAATTGAAAAAAACTTAAAGTTATTTACCCTATTTTTTATTTAATTATTAATTGATATGGAGTATTGAGTGTGTACGTGCGCGCGCGCGTGTGTGTGTATACCTTATATAAAATCACAACAAAATTTTTCCAATAATATTTCAAACAAATCTTTAATCGTATCTACATACAAATTAAGATTTATTTGACTTAATACGAGTCTTTCCTATTGAAGGATTCTTGTATTTATATGACTGGGCCAATCGTTCGCGAAACTCGACTTCTAGTTTTACATATGTCCCACCTGTTTCAGATACATATTATTTATGTTATTTTTTTTAAGTATTATTCACATGCTTCCTTATTCATATATA